GCACGAATTACACGAATTAAGAGACGAACCATTCATCGTCGCAAAACTGCAAGAGATCAGGGAAAAGCTGTCCTACAAGACCTACAAGAAAGTCGTTTACGACGCCGTGGATCTCTGGCAAAGCAGCTGTGTGTAGCGTGAAGAATTTTTTCAGAGACCTCGTGTTTATCCCCCGTTATAAAGAGCAGATGATCGAAAAGATATTTACGGCTATCGATCACATGTGTGATCCTGAGAAAGATTACGAGGGGCAAACGAGACGTATAAAAAATCTCAAGAAACAAATGGACGTTATGAGAAGAACTACAGATACATGGGGTGTATTGATCGACATGTGCGTTAACAGATCTGATCCACCCACTGTAATGCTCAGAAAAATTCTAGATGAGATATCCGCAACCGGTCAAGGGATACGAGTTAGCGAGGTACTATGTATGTGTACGTATGTAACTGATGTATGTGTGAAGCTTGTTTCAAAAAAGGAGAAAAACAAGGTCTGCGAAATGGTCGAAATTCTGGTTGACTACATACTAGATCGGGGGTATATGTCGTGTGTAAATTGTCTTTACTGGCTAGACAGTCTGTAAGGTCATTCTAGCAGTTTTATTATTATTATTATTATATCATACCTTGATTATGTAACCTTTTTTAATTCTATTCTTTTACTGTCACTATGTAACCAATTTTATTCTTGTCATTATGTATCCAATTTGAATATATTACCAATTTTATTCTTTTTTCAATTTAATCTCTATATTTTTTAATAAAAGACCGAAACATGACACTTGTACGTGTTATTCTTTTGCAGAGGGTCGTAACGTCGACATGTCCGAGCTCATGAAAAAAGTTTATTACACTCCTGATAACCCCGGATCTTTAGGAGGTAAAAAACGGTTAAAAGATGCGGTCTTAAAGGATACAGGCATCCGTCTGAGCGATAAACAGGTCTCAGACTGGTTGGCTGGGGAGGATGCGTACACACTACACAGAACAGCTCCTATAAACTACAAACGTAATAGAGTCGTGGTTTATGGTATGTATACGCAGTTTCAAGCGGATCTAGTTGACATGTCGGCATACTCCAAGGAAAATGATAATAATAAATATTTACTGACCTGTATTGACGTATTTAGCAAGTATGCCTGGGCATGAGCGCTAAAGAATAAGAGCGGCGTCGAAGTTACTAAAGCGTTCAAGTCTATACTCGAAGAGGGTCGCGTTCCAAAGAAATTGCAGACGGATAGGGGCACGGAATATTTTAACAAACATTTTCAAGATTTAATGAAAAAGCACAACGTTCATCATTTTGCTACGGCTACTGATTTGAAGGCCAGCGTCGTGGAACGATTTAATAGAACGTTAAAAAGCCGAATGTGGAGATTTTGAACAGCCACAAATACATAGATGTTTTGCAAGATATTATGCAGGGGTACAACACCAACTATCATAGAAGTATTAAGATGAGACCGACGGACGTCGGCAAAGAAAATTAATGTACCGTATTTCAAAACTTGTACAGCGGTATGAAGAAGAACGAGCACACCATATTTAAATATAAAGTAGGGGATGTGGTCAGGATTTCTAAAGAGCGAGGGCCATTTGCCAAGGGCTATGAACAGAACTACACCGAATAATTTTTCACTATCTCCGTGTGTATCCCTCGTAATCCTCCCGTATACAGACTCTCTGATTATGACGGCGAAGTCATCGACGGGGTGTTTTACGAAGAAGAGTTACAAAAAATAATAAGCGTTTAAGGTGGAAAAGATTTTAGGGGAGAAAAAACAGGGGAGATCTACATTAGTTTTAGTGAAATGGCTAGGATGGCCTTCGAAATTTAATAGCTATATAGACAAAAAAGTTTTGTTGGACTTGCAAAAACCTTAAAACGTACAA